AGAGAGAGAGAGAGAGAGAGAGAGAGAGAGAGAGAGAGAGAGAGAGAGAGAAAACCAAAGAATAGATACTAATACATCTGTTTCCTCTCTCTCTGGTTTTTCGAGAAAGGCTTTCTCTGTGTAGCCCTGGGTGACCTGGAACTCACTCTGTAGATGAGACTGGTCTTGAACTCAGAGATTTACCTGCCTCTGCCTCCCTAGTGCTGAGATTTGCCGTGGATATGCTCTGTATAAATAAAATGCTGATTGATCAGTAGCCAGGCAGGAAGTATAGGCGGGACAAGCAGAGAAGAAATTCTGGAAACAGGAAGGTTGAGTCAGAAGACACTACCAGCTGCTGCCATGAGTACCAATATGTAAGGTACTGGTAAGCCACAAGCCATGTGACAAGGTATAGATTTATAGAAATGGGTTAATTTAAGATGTTAATGGGTTAATTTAATTCTAGATAGCTAGAAGTCTGAGCCATTAGGCCAAACAGTTTAAATTATATAAGAGTCTGTGTGTTTATTTTATAAGTGGGCTATGGGACTGCTGGAGCTTGGCGGGAGCTGGAGAGAAACTTTCCAGCTACAGAGATTAAAGGAGTGGGACACCTGTTTTACTTTAAATAACAGTTTAGTGACTATATACTGTAGAAGAATCAAGCAACATTGATTGAAAAGAAGCTAAATGTCACATAAGACATTATATATTGGAAGTGAAACAATCTTCATAAGACAGTCTTTTAAAATCCAAAAGTTAAATCACTATCAGAGATAATCAAATTGAGAGAGTACAGTTATCTGTAACTTGTTCCTGGAAGCACAGTATAATGGAGTGTGTGTGTGTGTGTGTGTGTGTGTGTGTGTGTGTGTGTGTGTGATAAATAGTAAAAGTTTCAAACATTGTCTACCTCTCTTTTTCAATTCCCATGATTTGGTTGTTTCAAAGTGAAGGCATTTTCTTTTTAAATGGAATGGAGATTTTATATCTTATGTCTGTAATTACTCTTTTATAAAGTAAAAGTAAATATTAGACTTTTGTGTTTATTATTATGCATTGGAAGCCAAAGTAGATCAATAATCATTTATTCACAATGCCTCCAAATTTCTTTCATATTTACTTTTAGTCCTTACATTATAATCATCTTTTAACTGTGAATTACTGGTCATTTCTAATAAATTTCAGGAAGATCCTGACTCCTGTTTACAGTTTTTTTTAAAGAATAGTATAATTATTTTTTTCTAGATTTATTTGGATAGCTAAAGTTATTGAAGAAAATAACTTCTATTTTATGAGACTCTTTACATTGTATTAGCATATAAATCTTAACTTGGTTAATAAAATGAGGACTATCGTTCTACCAATTACACTTAAATGTACACACTGAATATTCACTATGTAGTAGGTATGCAGTTTTGTGCATGAATCATCTCATTTAATTCTCAAATTATTATGAGTCTAGTTATATGAATTCACCAATGAGATTATGAAGATATTCCATAGAGAAGCCAGCACTCCATGTTACATGGTGCAATCAAAAGTGCAAACTTAAGTGCTTATCATCTCTGTAGAACTTACACTGTGAATGTGAACATTGCTTTTGAATAAACCCATTCATTATCCTAGTGGCCATGTTAGATAACTTCTAATATCAAAAAGGATGTTGTATAATCTCCGATGCAAATTTAAGTAAATGTAGTTCAGCCAAATAATAAGTTAGTCTTAGAAAAGTAGAATTAAATTAGGCAGCAATTCTCAAGAAATTATAATGTTTGTGTAGCTACAACTTCATTCCCTTAAAAGTCAAAATAATTTAAGAGACATATATTTTTTTTTGAAAAATTTGTCCATTATGCCATAATTTCTCAAATAAGCATAGTATCAAAACAACATGAAAAATACTCCTTCTAGACTAATATAATTGATAATTCTCACACAAAGAAACAGGATGAAATAAATTTAAAACTAAATGTTCGAAAAGCACTCATAGTAAGTTCAGATAATTTATTCTGTGTTTTTTTTTGAAAATGAAGTTCATATTCTTTTATTATGTGTTGTCCTTTAAAGCACACTGCTAGATAGAAAAGATAAGCAGCTAGTGTTACCATAACTGGTAAATTATTTACATGTCCTTGAAAAGATACTCAAAAGAAACGAAAATGAAGTAAGAAAACTTGTGGTGTTTGGTTGTTTTGGTAACTGCTCCTACAAAGCAAGAACAGAAAAACAGTACCTACCCAACAGTGTCAAGACACAGGCCAGGATTGCTATCAGGGCTCCGGTGCTAAGGCCGGCAGGCAGAACATAGGCCTCTGCGTTGCAGGTCTGCGCGATGCCATCGGCATCGCAGTCACAGACACGGATGGTGAGTGTGTTGGTGCTGCTCAGTGAAGGAGATCCACTGTCCACAATGAAAATTGGCAGATAGTAAACTGACTGTTCCTGTCTGCGGAAGCCATTTCTCCTGGTGAGTATTGAAGCTGTGTTGTCTAGGATGAAGAACAAAAACATAAAATAAGCCTTCTAACGAACTTTATCTTACCAAACTTAAGGGCATTCTTTTCCTTTTGCTCCTTAATTGTAAAATAGATGTGGCATATTTTTTTCAACATCCCACAATAAATCTTTTTAGACAGAGAGGCATATCTCCTATGAAATTCATCTTAAAGTATTTCTAAAGATAGCAAAGAAACAGTCAATGTAAACTTAAATGTTTTATTAAATGGGATTTTTATATTTTTGCATACCTAAAATTTCAAACCATATACTTGTAGAGAGATTGGTAAAAGTCACTAGTTAGTAGATGCTCTTTTAAGCATCATTTCAAATCCATCCCTTGTTTGGCAGGTTTCTAGATCAATAAAGAAAAAGTAAAATAGAATACCATAGTTTTATTTAATTGATTATGTAGTCAAGTGTCTTTGAACTAGGGCATATGCTCTGTGAAACAAGCCAGTACACTTCCTATGTTCACATCATGGTATACTGGCACAAACTAACTAAGATGGTTTGATTTCATTAGTTGATATAATTTTATGGGACTATCATCACAGACATGGTCCATCAATAACTGAAAAAAATCAATAAGCAGCACATTGTCAAACACAGATATTCACAAAGGGAATTATTGAATAAGTTTTATAAATCGTATTATTATTTACACTTTCTAAAGCAACATGATTTAAAATGTTTTATTAATATCACAGAATTTAATTTATATTTCATATTCTATCTGACCTAAGAAAGTTAGAGTAACTATGATTTGAAAGGTGATTAATATGTGTATATAACTACCATTTATATTACCAAAATAAATTTAATTTGAGGGTATTTCTCTGTGTATTTTCTTTTAATAAGCTAATTAGGATTTATAGGATTCTACAAACTAACGAGTAGGAGAAAAGAAAAGAAAAGAAGTCAGGGTCATACTGTCATCCAGTACGTAAATCCCTAATAGTTTAAAACTTGCTTATCTAATATTGACATGAAAAATTTAATAAAATTTTAAAGAAAGCAAGCTGACATCATTTATGTCTTAAGCAGCACAAAGCAAAAAGTTTATAACCAACATTAAGCAAAGAATTTACTGTGATTTTAGATTACATAAAATAAAAAAATTAGTGTCATTTTGTATTTTGTCTGTTTTCATATATGCAGATTTTTAAATGTTACTAAAATCTTACTGTTTGAAAATATTTAATCATACAATATAGATTTGCAAAATTCATTAGGGAATTAATTAATCATGGAATTATCTAGGAATATTCCTTATGTACACTTAATAATACACAGATTGATGATTTGATTCACACCAATGTTGATATTAACCATCATTATGAATTTAGAGAATATATTCATTCAGTTGTTTATTGGTAGTCTAACATGACTGATATAAAAATCTTTCACACATAGACACAGAATCATGTACACAGACACTATAAACACACACACACACACACACACACACACACACACACACACACACAAAACATTAAATTGAGAAGCACAGGCCAAATGCTCATCATATAAAAATGAATGCTATGATCAAGAAAGAGTTGTAGAATGCATGATGCTCTGTATTGCTCCCCGAATGTGGAAGACAACATGAATTATTTTTACCTATTCTTTTGATGCCCTTCTAGGTATACCCTGGGGAACTTTGGGCTTGTTGTATGTGACACAGGGATATTTCCAGCTATGTGGCAGTATGGATGCTTTATAAAACCAGATATTTTCTTGTGCATTCGGTACAGAAATCTTGATGCTATTGGACTGTGGCACATGAGGGATATATTCACCATCTTCTTGTGAAGGTCATATATTCCCTGGCCTACATCTTGCTCAAGGACTCCAAGAATTGAGAGTAAACCTTTCCAACTATGATTAAGTCAGAGAGTTTGGGATTACACACCGTGAGAATGCACTTCTTTTATATTACTAATGGGACAATAGAGTGTTCTCATTAGGTCATCAATGGGATCAGGAAAAAATTATTACTTTCAGATTGAATTTTCCTGGCTGAGATCATAGTTTTTGCACTAAAGCTATGGCCTTAGGCAAAAAACTTTGTAAATTTCATCTGAAAGCATGTCTGTTCTGGTAAGCCATTTTGATTCTTTATTTTAAAACTAAAACTTGAATCACATGAAAACCTGTATAATATGTAAGCAAATTCTAATGCTTTCTTTAGAAGGTCTTATGATTATTAATAAGTATTAAGCAAAACAGGAATCTGCTTACAGATACTTGTAAAGTGCCCCTACAATTACACTTATGACTTGGTAGGAATAGCTAACTAAAAAGCAAGGAAATTAAATTTGACATGAGAAGGAGAATTTTTTCTTATTATTTACTATTTTACCTTAGTTTATAATGATTTTTATTATTAGAGTTTTCACATATAACATTTATTTTCATGTAAAAATAAAATGGTGTTATTATTGATAATATTATGTGAATGTTGATTTAACTCGAAATGAATATAATACAATTATTTTCTAAGGTCTCAAGTAGTGTTAAAATAGCACAGTCCTTACTAAGGTCCTTAACAGGCATTTAATTTTTGAGATCATTTAAATAAAGAGCATGGTATATTAATGGGAGGCAAACATTCAGGAGTCAGACAAGAGAAATACAGGTAACTTTTTGCATTTGGCTTTATGCCTAAAATGATTTGAAGAGTGGCTTCTCCTCTATGACAGCAAATTCATGGATAAAAATTACTCAGAAAGCACAATGCCTTTTAATTACTTTCCTTGCTGTTTTTCCCCATAATAAGCATCCCTAAGGGAGAAACAGGGCTTATTTAGGAGCCAGTGCTTGCAAAGGCAAAGCTCCCTTACCTTTGTTATCTTTCAATGAAAAGTTGTGGTTATTTGTTGCATCTGTTGTTAAGCTGAAGTAAAACTGGTGTCCATTAGATGGCTCATCTTTATCTACAGCACTGATTTTCTGGATAACCTAGAGAGAATGTAAAAGAGAAAGCCTACTGGTGCAGTCTGCTGAGATTCCTACCTACAGCGGGACACAGTTATTTTACACCTCATCATAAATGTCATTCCCAAGAATGAGTTCAGGGAATGGATCAGGTGTACAAACTTGAACTCAATCTAAAACAGGCTTTGGAAAACAAATCATATCCTTTTCTTGTTTTGTTTTTTTGAGACAGGGTTTCTCTGTGTAGTTTTGGTGCCTGTCCTGGAGCTCGCTCTGTAGAGCAGGCTGGCCTTGAACTCACAGAGATTCGCCTGCCTCTGACTCCCAAGTGCTAGGATTAAAGGCATGCACCAGCAGCCGGTGTAAATCATGTTCTTTTCAAAGTGCATGTTTAAACTTTCTTTTGTGAACCTCAGAAACAAGCTGCAACAATTGATTAGACATCCCAGTCATCACACAACTCTGAGCAATATGAATGGACAAGCCAAAGCCACTTTGAACTGCATTTAATTCTTAGAAGTTGAGGTATTTAAATTCTACTGTGTAATGTAATGTGGGAAACAGCCCAATCAAACTTGATATGTTTTATTTCTTCTTAAAGGAATCCAAGCCTTTAAACATATAACAGGGCTTTTTACAATGTTTATCTTCTCTTCCTGAGGAATTTTCATAACCCAATTAAACTAGAATTTGAAAGTTCTTTTAATATTAGTTTGTGCTACACATCAACATGCTAGCTTTGCTGAAACATGCAGATTGTGAGTTATCTTAAAATTGGAAAGTTTCAGCAACACCACTGCTGGATGCTTCTAAACATTTCCAAACAAAGAAGAAGTTGACTCAAACTTCTCACCTGACCAGGCTGAGCATTTTCACAGACAGTGGTTTCATAGTCCATGGCAAACTCGGGTGCATTGTCATTAATGTCCAGTATAGTGATGGCCACATAGCCTCTCCCAACCTGAGATGGATTCTCTGGTAGATAGGAAAATATTTTCTAATTAACTTAGAATACTCACCACACTCTTGCTTTTTTAATCAATAAACATGAAAATCAACCAAAAAATTGAAAATTCCTTTTCTAAAGTATAATCTCAAATAAAAAATACTTATAATACCATATTATCTAAACCAAACCACAGATAATCTGACCCATATAAACTTGTTAATTTAAACATGTATATATTCAAACATATATTTTATGTTTGTATATAATGCATAATTGTATCTGTATTTATGCATTCCATATAAATATATAAATACATGTATGTATATATGTATATGCATGTGTGTCTTGTCCCTGATAAGAAAAGTGCTGAATGAGGAATAGTGAACCATGAAATTCAGCTCAATGATGTCACAGCTCATATTTATATCAGTATTAGCATATTATGTATACATGCATTTTCTATATATTTTATAAAATACTATATATTTTAGTAATATAGATATAATTATATTTTCTCTTAAATTATTTCAATTAGTTCAATTCACAACTATCAGGTTTTGCATTTCTATATTTTGAATTAACTATGTAAATATCAGCACAAGGGGCCAGTAAATCTAGAAATACTTTACAGTTTAGTGATTTGGGACTTTTTGGGGTTTGTCCAACTTAATCAAGCAACTATTACAGCTTAAACTGACCTCATCTCATAGGAACCCATTCTCTATTTTTACCTTGCTTAATCCTAATGTCACTTTAAGCCTTTCGACTTACGACTTTCCATTGCGAGGACTGTAATGTTATGAACAGCATTTGTCTCTCGATCCAATGATTTAGCAGTAGTGATAACTCCACTGTTGGCATCGATATTGAAATATCTCTCCAAGTCTGTGTTTCTGTCAATTGAATATCTAGTTGAAAATTAAAAAAAAATACTTCACATTCATGGTTGGTTAGAATATTCTTATTTTTTCATTGATTTCTTAGATGACCACTAAATCCTGCTGACTAATACCACTAATATATGTCATGTTTAAAACTCCTCTGTTTAGCTATATGCCCATAGGTTGTGTGCTAGTAATCTTTCCTTATGTGTTAAGGTTTTGAAATGACCATCATAGAATACATTACTTCAGCATGGCTTTGAACATTCCATTGCATCTCTACATGTATCACTATTACTATTTACAGTTGATCCTAGCACCAATTCTATACATAGGTCCCGGTAAAATCTTTTAGTTTTATGGGGCTATAACCTTTTGTTTTGATAATATCAATCTTAATATTTTTTTTTTTACTGGAATCATTACTCAAAAGTCTTAACTGGCTTTCCAAAGAAATGAAAGAAAGTTGAACACCTAAAATCGAATGTTATTTTAGGTTGTAAAATTCCAAACTCAGAATATCTTTGTTTATTTGTGTCTCACCTAACTTTGCCCACAGTACAGCATTTTATTTTTTGTACATGTAGGTCCTGAAATTTGATAAAGATTTCCAAATCTTTAATCATACTTTTCAGAATTATTTAGACATTTGAAGTCCTCTATATTTATACAAGTATTGTGTGTATATATATATAGCATAACTGCTGGAAATTCATTAATCCAATGAATTAACTTGTAAATAACTGACAATTTTACTTCTTAGTATGTTGAGCCATTTAAATGGTGAATAATTTTATTTCTGGCCAGATTTCTGTGCTGTGGATTATGCTAAGTTTTAATAATAAAGTCGATTGATTGTTAGCCAGGTAGGAAGTATGGGTGAGACAAACAAACTAAGGAAGGGAAGAGAAAGGTGGAGTGAGAGAGATGCCAGCTAACCACTGAGAAAGTAAGATGTGCGAAAAATGAGGTAACAAGCCACAAACCACATGGTAAAGCATAGATAAGAAATATGTGCTAATTTAAATGTAAGACTTAGTCAGTAATGAGCCTGAGATACTGGCAAAGTATTTATGATTAATATAAGCCTCTATATGGTAATTTGGGAAGCAACTGTTGGGTATTTGGGAGTTGCTGGCAGGACAGAAACTTCAACATACATATGGTGAACATCAAGGCTACTGGAAGAGATGATCCAGACTCACAGAATAAAAGTCAGGATTTGACCATTCTTCTAAATTTTCTCAGGGTTTCCCATAAGATTTCCAGCACCCTCAATCAGCAGGAAGTAGTTTAGAGAACAATGCCCAAATTCCCAAAATATTTCTTGTGAATATTTGTTTTCATTTAAGGGGGATTGGTTATAAATTATTAGTGGTCATAGTCAATCTTTTCCTAAAAGACAGTGGGGATAAGCATGATAGGATCAAAAGGTAGATTATCAGTTTTAAATAATTTACATTGGCATGGATTCTTATATATTGATACAAATTCAAAGTTATTTTTGTTATACTGTATATGTTTCTATTTCTGAGATATTTTTGTGTATTCATAAAGTTCAAAATTATTTTGGTTATATTATGTATGATTCCTTCATTTAAGGTATTTCTGTATGTTGATACAAATGCAAAATTATTTTTGTTATAGTCTCTATATATTTCTATGTCTGTTTAGGATATTTTTGTATATTGACACAAACTAAGGTGATTTTTGTCATATTGCATTATACATTTCTACCCCAGTTAAGATATTTTTGTATATTTTCCCTACTTCAAGGTTATTGTCCTTACACTGTACATCTGTTTCAATTTTGCATAAGATATTATCTCCACAGCTTGTTTATTTTTATAATGTGAAGCTTAGTCCTTAAGTTATACAGGTTAATAAGAATTACAGGTCAATAGTCAGTCACTCTATCTTGTGAAACTTAGAGTTATTTTATTTAGAATTTCTATGAGTGCAGAGATATGTCCTAAACAGTGAGGCAATCTTAAAATACTTCAAATATCTACAGAATAATAATTTAATGACTTAGAATTCTTTTGAAATGAGACACTCTGCTCCTGGCATCACTGTTTGACTCCAAAGAGGATGTATTTCTTTTAGAAAAACTGGCTTACTGGGCAGGAAACTGCCCTTATCTTGACTGCTGACAGGAAGCATGCTGTCTAATCTGGACAGGCAGGACACAAAGAAAAGCACTGCTGAAATTTGCTTAGACAGGGTAGGACAATCTTTCATATTTTTCTGCTTATGAAAAAGGTCTGTCAGATATTCTAGGTCTATAAGCCAAAGTTGGATGCCCCAACGTTACAGAGAAATTTTGCATGAGTGTCCAGGCAGCCAATATCTGCTTCCTACCCAAAATTTATAGCTGCATTCTGTGTGACAAGATTGGCTCTATTTCTCAGGAACAGGATTATTTATGTACGTGTATATCTATTCTTCATGTATAAACATATAGAAACATGCCGGGTAGTGGTGGTGCACACCTTTAATCCCAGCACTTGAGAGGCAGAGCCAGTCGGGTCTCCGTGACTTTGAGACCAGCATGGTCTACAGAGTGAGATCCAGGACAGGCACCAAATATACACAGAGAAACCCTGTCTCGAACCTCCCCCCGCCAAAAGAAAAAAAATTGAGACATTGAAATACACCAATATGTATAGACATACTACAAATAATATACACTTTTATGGATACCTTATCCAGCAGCAACAGTATAATTGATATCAATTATGTTAAGATGATTATAACAACATTCATGCAATCAGGTGAAAGCAATATTATAAATATTGTTCATTAATTTTCTTAGCCCTGTAACTAATCAAAAGATAATGTCAGTACATTCTTAAAATTTTGCATGCTAATGAGTATGTGATATACTTAAATGTACACATACATGTATGCATGTGGTGGTATTGTGTTCCCCAAAATATTGTGCACCCTAATAAACTTATGGGTCAGAGAATGGAACAGCCACTAGATACAGAGGCTAGAAAATGGTGGCACACACGCCTTTAATCCTAGCCTTCTGGAAGCATGGATCTCTGTGAGTTCAAGGCCACATTGGAAACACCCAGGCATGGTGACTCACACCTTTAATCCCAAGAACTGAGCCTTTAATCCCAGGGAGTGATGGCAGAAAGCAGATAGGTATATAAGGTGTGAAGACCAGGAACTAGAAGCATTTGGCTGGTTAAGCTTTTAGGCTTTGAGCAGCTCAGTTCAGCTGAGATTCATTCTGGATGAGGACTCAGAAGCTTCTAGTCCGAGGAAACAGGATCAGCTGAGGAATTGGTGAGGTGAGGTAGCTGTGGCTTGTTCTGCTTCTCTGATCTTCCAGCATTCACCCCAATAATTGGCCTCAGGTTTGTTTTTATTAATAAGAACTTTTAAGATTCATGCTACATATGTACATAAATGTGGATAACAGAATTTGACACAGAGTGTCTTCTTCTATCACATTCCACTTTATTTTTTGAGGCAGACCTCTAGCTTAACATGGGACTCACCAGTTCCTCTCATCTAGCTAAACAGTTGTTCCAGTGATCTATATAGTCTCTTTCCTAAAGCACTAATATTAAAGGTAAATAATTCCCACTCTGCTTTTTCTCTTTTCATGCAGATTCTGGGAATCTGGACTTCAGTCTTCATATTTCATACAAGCACTTTATCCACTGAGCTATTTCTTCAGCCCTATCAGGATACTTTTGATAAAATAGATTTATAAAAATTTCTAAAAAGTTACATTATACATAATGAAGGGTTTTATAAAGACATTTTCATTCAAGTATATTGTGAACTTTGGTTTGTAAATTAATAAAAGAAGAATGGGTAGAGAGTTGAAATGTATTTATTTAATTCCTCATTGAATTAAAGCTAATGACTAAATATTTGCCTCTATTCTTTATAGTCTCAATGATTCCAGAATTAGATTAAAGGGCATGTAAGTCAAGAGTTCATTTACTATGATGTTTTCAGACAGTATTCATTTCAAGAATTGAAAATAAGTGAGGATCTTGAAGTTAACAGGAAACCAAAGATTCAATCATTCAAAAGTTATCATTCTCAATTATGAACTCTATTTATTTAATTGAATGTGTATCTAAGCAGCTGTGATCTTTACATGGATCTGTAATGCTGATATGTATTTGTATAAGTGTGTCGGTAATGTGTATAAATGGTTAAAATTTCCTCATTTCTTCTTGTTATTCAGTCATACATTAGGTAACTATTTTAGCACATTCAACTGACACTCCTTTTCTGGAAATCACACATAAAGAAGTAATAACATTGATTATAAATAGAGGAATACAATATGTTTGATTGGTAATGTTAAGCAGAGAAAGAAAAGCTATGGAGAAAGAACTATGTATTAACTCAAGAAGAGATGGGAGGCTAACAATGCACCTTAGTAGACAGATAAATTGTCCAGGGAATTCTGTGCTCTTTATGTTCCTTAACGACAGGTTTGGGACAACCAAATACTAAAATATTATGTTACTCTTTATTCACTCATTAGACACAAGTCCTTATGGACATACCAATAAATTGCAGATGAATTATAAATCAAATGTCCAATTACTTTGTGAAAATACAAGTTGAAATTTAACCCTTTAAATAAAAAAAAATCAAAGAAAGTGAGTGGGTTTTTTTCTTTCTTTCTTTTTTTTTTTTTTTAGTATGGGAAGTGCAAACTTTCTTCACCTTATAATATAGAAAAATAGAGTGAACAAAATGTAAAGGAGGAACCTTAGAGAAGCTTTGAGTGGCACATTTCTGCAACTGTGCCAGTTAATTATTATCAACCAGACACAAACTGGAGTCATCTGCATAGTGGTGATGTCATTGTGGAAGTATCTCCATCAAACAGGCTTTTAGGCATGACTGTGGGGCATTTTATTAATTGCTATATATAAGCCCAGCCCACTATGGGAGGTGCTATCCCTAAACTGATGGTCCTGGGCTGTATAAAAAAGTAGCTGAGCAGGACTGTGGAAGCACAATAGGAAGTAAGCAGTTTC